AAGTGAATGGCTTAAAATATATTATGATGAAATTTCAACAAATTTATACAAAAATCTTGGTTTTAAAGAGGTTTTAGAATTAAATGAGGCAAGGTAAGAAAATCTAATTGAAAATTTTGTAGAGTAATACAAAAAACTTATAAATTGACGTATATAAATAACATAAAATAGAACCATATCTATTTTTAAGTATCTTATTACTTACTAGACGATAAATAATATTTTATAAATATATTTTTCGTGTTTCCCAATAATTATGGTTATTACAAGTTATCAACTGTATAATAAATTTATGTACTGACAAATAATTTTATCAATAATTTTAGAAATAACATTTATGTAACCAAATATTTAATTAATGAAAAAGTTCAAAAAACTGTTATTAACATTATTGTAGAGTAATATGGAAAACTTCATCAATTAACGCATTTAAATGCGTTCAAACTTATTCTGTTTTTTCTTGTATTACCGATTGATTTAAAAAAATCTTCAGCATTTAAAGAGACCCTTATATGGTTGAGAATAGAATAGATCCAAATCTATCATTTATATCTTATTAGTGTTATTTGGCGCACTAATTTGAAGAAAAAATCTGAATTTCTGAGTTTCCCTAATATTGTGGCTTCTTAAAGCTACCAACAGTATAATTATACTTGTACTGAAAATATCATTTTATCAATCATTTTAAAAAACTAAGTATCTATTTATATCATAAAATATTCAATTAATGAAAAAGTTAACATATACAAAACATAAATTAACATTATTCACTTTACTTACGGTATTCCTTTTTCCAAATTTCCCTTATTTATTTTTGACAAACAAAATAAAAGTTCTTGGTAATGTTTATACGCTATACGAGAGTCTAAATCCCCTAACCTAAAAAGAATTCAAAATTGAGAACCCCCTCACATATAATTAAACATATAACTCAAAAAATAATGCTATCGAACCGGTTATGAACCAGTCAAAATTTTAATTAACGAAAAAATGAGAGGTTTAATAAATCATAATGTACATTTTTTTTAGTGTAAGACATTCAGTTCATTTGTATGAAAATATTAGTCAAAATTGTATTTAATTATTTTTATACAAAAAAAATGTAATAATAGGTTCCTATTTAATTTTCAAAAGTTACCTCTAAAATATACTCATAGGAATAATTTTTCATATACTATAAGTGATATTTAAAACGGTTTTTTAAAAATTAATTCAATATTAATCTATTAATTTTTATGAAAACATTATTTAACGAAAAAATTATAGGAAGTGTATTTAATAAATCACATTGCGTATATATATTTTTTAAAGTTTCAGATATCCAGTTCATTTATATGAAAATACTAGTCAAAAGCAGGTAATCGAACAATTAAACGAAATTACTAATGAAAGTGGATGGAAATCGTTGAATCATATAAATATTATATTTAATGGTCAAGTTATAAGCATAGAACGTATTCTCAGACACCTAGCAGACAAAAAAACTTTTCATTGTAAAAAAGAACATATATTAAGAGTTATCAAATGCATTTATACAGAAATACTGTTTAAGTACTGTCACTATGTAAATTACCTATTTGAGTATTGTGAAAAGGAAAATTCAAAAGGTAATCCTGAAATAACATACATAGTCTTTGTACGTAAAATTTTTGAAACAGTTCATAAGACAACTATTATCTTTGATATTATGTATAAAACATTGATTTCTTTAAATGAACTAATAGGAGATTATTTATATGACAACATCAGTTCAAACATAAAATCTTTGTGTAGTTCAATAACAAAATTCCTTGACGAAATAAATTCTGGAAATTATTCACTTGATATTTTGGATAGCAAAAATAATGCCTTTAATCAGGTATCATCAGAATTNTAATAATGCCTTTAATCAGGGATCATCAGAATTATACACAAGGCAATGCGTTAGAAATATCTCACCATTTCTGCAATTTAACAAACTGGGTATCTCCTCATTACCTAAAACACACGAAAAACAATGTCTATTACAAAATTTTGTGTTAAATATTGATATACCTGAGTCAATAAGTACCGACAATTTTTCATCTGTTTGTGACAAACTTATTGTATTTTCTAATAATTTTATAAAAGTTTACTATGAAGATTTGGGTTTAAATAAATTAAATTAATTTATTCATCAATTTTATTTTTATTTTTTTATGCCTATCTGGGGCTTCGACCCAAACATGGGCCTTTGGACTGCTCTTACAGGTATATCACATATAAAATCGTTTTTCTCCATAAAAACTTTTTGTAAAATGAATATTTACTTTTACTCATTCACTAAACACAAATAAATATTCCAAGTCTACCTTATGAAGCTAAAAATAATTAATGGGTTGATGGGTAGACGAAACTGTACTGGCGTACCTATAAAGCGGGCCATACACTATGCATTTTGAATGACAGTCTTCTTGACTGCCAATCAAGAAGACTGTCATTCAAAATGCATAGTGTATGGCCCGCTTAATCTACTCTCGTTCCATACACACTCTATGTGTTAAATAATTTATACTTGATATGTACTTATCCTAAAATTATCATCACCCACCAATTTTTTTTGTAAGTAAAGCTCTAAAAAACAGCTTCATTATAACTTAAATAAATTTTTNACTTCATTATAACTTAAAATAAATTTTTTTTTTTATTAGCGATAAGTCAATATTGTCAAATAATAAAAAAATACACTCTAAATGAGCTAAAGAATCCAATGGTTATTCAACAAAAAAAAAATTCAACAAAATGATAATTGATCAAAAGTATAAGCGTTTTCATATAGATTTGAGACACTCAGTAAAATCACAATTGTATTTAATACGATACAGTATGACAACTATAAAAACCACGTCTGTTTCACTTATTTTTATGATCTACTTAAATAAATAACAAAAAAAAAAAATTACACGAATTATAAAATTGAGTTTAAATTTCAATCAGCATTAATTGTAGAAACAAATTTTTTCAGGGCTAATCTTTCCAAATTGGTGAGCAATTTTAAATCCCTTAAATTTTTACTAAATTTGCAATTAAGTATATCATATCAAAAAGAACAAAAAATGTTTGACTTTTGATAAACTTCTTTAAATTTTAAATAGATATTTTTTATTTATACAATTCAATATGCCATGATTTTCTTTAAATTTATTTTTTTATAAAAATCAATAATAATACATCATACCTGTTTAAATACCACATGTTTCGTTTTAAAAATTGAAACTAGTTACAAGAAGTTGATACAAAGTCTTGTTTAAAACTATTTCAAAATTACTGAATTCATTGAAAAAAACATTAGCCGTTTTAAAGGAACGGCTTTTGTTCCTCATAATTGTTTAAAGAAATACATGAATCTGTATTATGACTGCTCCAATTAAATTGTTAAATATTCTTGTTCACACAATTATAAATTTGCAAGTAGTATTCACGTGTTTCTGATCACTTCACCTTTTAAGTTGTTCCGAAATCCTATAAAAAATGATGAAAGAAGTGCACTTCTACACTACATATGCATTGATTATTATTAGTATCTAATAACAATTTTTTGAGACTTAAAAACCCGAACACAAATCAAAACTACATAACACATGAATTTATACACAAAAATTGTTCAAGCATTACAATTCATAAAAATTATACATTGTTTTTCTCAGATCTAACTAATAACTCTTATAACTTAAGATCCACTTAGTATTTCGTCAATTTTTTTATTAATATTGGTTCCTTGGATTACATTTANACGTCAATTTTTTTATTAAAATTGGTTCCTTGGATTACATTTAAAGCATATTTATTACTAATAAAAAATATACAAAAAAAAAATTTGTCCCGACACTTTTTCTTCTGTCGAAATTAACGAAAAATGTAATTTTTATGTAAAAATTACTGTATAACATGAAATATTTTAATACTTAAAATTGCCATAGCTTTTTGAAAAACTAACAATTTAAAATAATTCTTTTTTATATTGAAACCTTAGATATTTCCCTTTCATTTGATATAATTTTTTTGAAAATCTGACCCTTTATACCTGCCTACAGAGGGGATTCAAAATAGCAACTTCTGCACAATAATTTAACTTTTTCAACATAAGTTTTAAAAGTATTTCAGGAAATACTCAGAGCTTCAAACATATGATAAAATAAAGCTAATGTTATGTACTATAAATTCAAAAAAAAATTTGTCCCAACGAATTACCTTCTATGTGCAAATGGTTGCCCTAGTTAAAAAACATGCTATTTTTGTGTTAAAATTCTTGGTTTAATTTTAATTTATTTTAAAATACCATATAAAGGGGTACACTGATTTTTATGAATATTATATAAATCTAATTGACATAGAATATAATGTGTAAACTTATTTCAATTTATTTTTTCTTTGAAGTCGAAAAAATTCATTTTAACATTTGAATAAGCTTAAATTGCCAATTTTATCAAAAAACGAATGCGACGAACGTTTACCGTATCAGTAATACTCATTGAACGTGGCAATGATTTTTTTGTAATTTTTTCATAATTCTTTTTGAGTTAGGATTTTGCTTTTCAATAATCCACCAATTTCTTAAAATTAAACACTATCTACAGATTTGCATCGAAGCGTTTGTTTTGATAGTGATTTTAATCACTGTCAGATATCATCTATACTAGTCCCAACTATGCCACGTTCACACTGTGCAGTGACCCCCTGTGTTTTTCACATCTGATCTGGATGTTTAATAAGTTAAATTATAGTCAAGGTTATATAGACTATATAACCATGAGTGTAGTAATTATTATAATTTCTATTAATACAATTTATAATAAATGATGAAATTGTAAACTATTGTATTATAATATTAAAATATTGTACATATTGGCAAGAATGAAAGGTTTTTTTTTCGTGTTCCGAATATTTTCATAACAGTTGATATGAACATTTTTATCGAATTATAAATTTAAGTTGGCAATAATGAAAAGCGATTAGATAATATAATAAAGTCATTTAATTGATAAGATCTGGAACGGTCTTTCCCTCGCCGGAATTACGTTATATTCAAGCTCAAAGGGTCGCGTGTTTGGAAAAAACATTTTTTTTTTGGAAATTGGATTAATTTTGTTTCCTAATTAACTATTCAAATATTTTTAGTTGCCATAACTGAAATTAACCTGCTAACAGTATATTTATTTTACCTGTGTAAAAAATTCTTAGTATCATAATTAATCGTAGTATGTATTAATTTTACATTAGAAATTTACAATAAATAAATAATGTTGAATTTTTTATGTCTTAGATGGATATCACTACGGATAACATTAATCATCTTATAAAATGTCTTCAAGCCACTTTAAGTCCTGATCAAAATGAAAGAAAACAAGGTTTGTGCCAAATTTTTTAATATTTTTTACTTGTAATTCAATTGTTATCAAATTCATTTTGATCTTATTTTTAATTTGTTAGCTGAAAACTTTTTATTATCAATTGAGCGTAACAAAAATTACCCTTTATTATTATTGCAAATAATCAGTGCTACACATGATGTTAACATTAATTTGGTTAAAAAAATTGGAGCTGTTACATTTAAAAATTATATCAAGAGAAATTGGCTTGTTGTAAGTATATATTTTTAATATATAATTAAGTGTAGATGTTTTAATAGTTTACAATAGTAATATTGATAAATATTGTTATTTTATGTTCAGTAATTTGTAATAGTTTATAAATAATTAAGTTAAAAAAAATTAAGTAAAATATAGTGTAGTCAAAAAGAGTATATTTTCATTTTTTCTACCTGTAAGAGTGTATCATTATTATTATTGTATTCTTACAAGGACATTATAAATTTTCTAAATTAAAAGTAATATAACAAAGCAGAACGAATGAGTCAATATAATACTAATCACTAAAGATGAAAATGAAAAAAAGTTTTTAGTTCAAATTGTTAATGAATACAGGAAAATATATCTTGATAATAAAAAATATACCCTAAATGATTTTTAATATAACTATTATATTAATTATTGATTATATTAAATATATCTTATATTATTATAATTATTATTTTTATGTTTTGAATACTTTAGTTGTATGACTCCTGTACATCACACTATTCATTTAATTAATGTTATATTAATAAAACCCAGCACAGTAGGGATGTTGCATAGTTAGGTCCAGTATAGATTTAATCTGACAGTGATTAAAATCACTATCATAAGAAACGCTTTGATGCAAATCTGTAGATAGTATTTAATTTTAAAAAATTGATGGATAATTACAAAAGCAACATCAACTTCTATTTCCTTAATTATACCCAGATTAGTAATTCTTTTAATTATATATTATATAATTTTTAAAATTAATTTTAAAAATTTTAAAAGGAAATTTAACATATTTGACAAATTATACCTAGTATTTATTAATTTTTTGGACTTCTTAGCAAATCAATCAGTTTTGTTGTTATTATATTTTAAACATGATATACACGAGAAGAACTAATGATACAACAATTTGGCATAGAAAAATACTTAAAATCCCTGGTTTATAGTGATTTCAGGCTGCTGAAATATTTTAATTTTTTTAAAGAGTACTGTTTTATTCTAGGAAAACTTAAAAGTCAAGAGATTTCTTAGAAATATGTAGACTAGTTATTTTTATATTTTTAGAGTATTTTTTTATTAAAATTAAAATTTAAGTCAACTTATGTTTGATGATAACTGATAAAGAAAATAAGACAAACATTTAAATTCATAAATTTATTATCAAATTCTTCTTAATTGTATATATTATTATTGATAATATATTATTATAATTATAATAAAAAGGTTGTCATTTTCTAAATTAGTATTCTTGTATTTTAAGGTATTAAAAAATGTTTAAATTAAAATTATTATGAAAATGGAAGTGATGAATTGTAGTTTTTATTCAAGTATTAGTTTGAGTGATTAATATAATGATTCTAGTTTAATTAACTAGGATTTTACAAAATTAATTTATCCAAAATTTTTCTTTTTATATTTCCTTATTAAATAGTTAAATTTTTTCTTGGAAAAATGAGTGTAATTTAAATTTATATATTACAGGATGAAGAAACTTTAGAAAATAAAATACATCAAGAAGATCGAGTATTAATAAAAGAACAAATATTTACTGTTATGTTGAATTCGCCAGAGGATATACAAAAACAATTAAGTGATGCAATCTCTTTGATTGGAAAATATGACTTTCCTGATAATTGGCCTAATTTACTCCAAAAAATTATTGAAAATTTTATGGCATTTGCTGGTATGTAGTTCATTTAAAAATACTAATTATCTTTAACATTGCTTAATTAAATATCTCATTTTAAGCATTGAAATACATTTATAAAATACAATTTTAATGTTCAATGTAATTTTTCTTAGCTGCACCTAATGGTGATTTAATTCCAATAAATGGTGCATTAGAAACAGCACATTCATTATTTAGAAAGTATAGATATGAATTAAAGTCTCAAAAATTGTGGACTGAAATAAAATTTGTATTAGATAATCTAGCAAAACCACTTACTGAATTATTTGTAGTAAGTTTTACATTAGTATTAAAATATTTTTTTCAAGTTATAGCTAAATTCATATTAATAATTTTTTTAATTTATATGAATTCTAAAATTGTTGCATTAATTTTTACAGCTAACTATGAATTTGTGTAATGTTTCAAAAGATCCAAAACTTTATAATATTCTATTAGTTATAACAAAAATATTTTATTCATTAAATTATCAGGTTATTATTTTTTATTATTTAATTTTTAAGTTAAAAAAAAAACTTATATATTTGTTTATTCTTAAGGACTTACCTGAATTTTTTGAAGATAATATGAAAACTTGGATAGTTAATTTTCAAAATCTTTTAGAATTAGAAATTGTTGAACTGGAAACAAACGTATGTTTAAATAAGTATTCTTTACATATTTTTATTTATATTTTACTAATATTTTGTATAATTTATCTTCTTTAATAACCAACTTAAACGTTTGCTATATAAGTATTATCAAGTTTATTACTATTGAGTGTATACATAGTTGTATATTTTGTAGAGTGATGATGAAACTGGATTATTACATCAAATTCAGTCACAAATTTGTGAAAATGTATCATTGTATGCACAAAAGTATGAAGAAGAATTTTCCGCATATATGAAAGATTTAGTTACAATCATTTGGAAATTACTTATTAAAACAGGCCCTAAACCTAAATATGATACGGTATACCTTTTAAAATTAATTAAAATTTTATCCTACTATTAAGGAAATTTATTTATAGCAGTTAAATTATTGATTATATTTTTTTCTTTTAAATACGAGAAATGTGTAGTCCCTTTTTATTATACTAGGTTGTTTTGCGTAATCTTTTTAGTTTCATTTTAAAATTTTATAGTTAATAATATTTAATTTGTTTAGCTTGTAATAAATGCATTGCAATTTCTATCAACAACAGTTGTCAAACCTCAATATAAAGAATTATTCAATGATCCATCAGTATTTTCTGCAATTTGTGAGAAAGTTGCTATACCCAACATGCAATTTAAAGGTATTCTTATTACAATTAAAAATTATTTTCCACGTGCTGAAATTGTACAATTTTTCAGAATCTGATGAGGAGCTATTTGAAGATAACCCTGAAGAATATATCCGAAGAGATATTGAAGGATCAGATGTTGATACTAGAAGAAGAGCTGCTTGTGATCTTGTGAAATCATTATCAAAAGAATTTGAAGAAATTACAATGAGATCCTTTGGCTTGTATGTAAAGGTAAAAATATTTTATTTTAATTATTATTATTATGTGTAAAACATATACCTAAAAGTTATATTTTATTATATTAATAATATAATTATAATATACAGGGAGTTTTCTTAACTATATTTCATGTAATATTTAAAAAGTATAAAGAGTTTCAGTTTTTATATCAAAGAACTATTAACTTTTGAAATTTATTTTCGTATTTTCTCTAGTGTTTTGTAATGTTTTAATTGAAACTTTTTATTCAGTCAATGTTAGAGCAGTATACAGCTAATGAACAAAATTGGCGAAGTAAAGATGCTGCATTATTTTTGGTTACCACTCTAGCATCACGTGGAAGTACTCAACGCCATGGAACAACTAAAATCAGTGAACTTGTCAACCTAGAAGAATTTACTACTCTACATGTATTGCCAGAATTGGCAAATTCTAATAGTATGTATAATAAGTAAAATATCGAAAATTTCATTTTAATTATATTTTATAACAAATGGAAATAAATGTTAAAAATTCTTATATTTAATAGAAGCTTTGTCAATTAAAAAAAATAAATGAAACCACTTCAATCAATTTTTTTATTTTTATAGTTTCATTATTATCATCACCATAACCTCTATCCCAACTAATTGAGGACACAGCCCTACCTTAACACTTTGATAGAATTTTATACCAGTTGTTGACCTGATGCAATCATTATAGTAAGAAAAAGCAGTATGGGGGTAAGGTATTTATTACTGTTAAAATTCCTGTATGGTTACCTATCTGGGAACTAACAACAAACTGCCCTTATGTAGCAAATGAATGATCCACACAATGCCCCTAACTATTTTTATAGTTTAACTTTGAATATTATTTGATAAATTTATATTTTTTCTAATTTAACTCATATGTGTAGATTATGGTTTTCAATATTCTTGTTTAAAAAAAAAATCCTCATGTTAGAAACACATTTAGTTCAAAATTTATTTTCAAATTTTCAGTTAATGGTATGCCAGTCATGAAAGCTGATGCTATAAAATACATTGTGACTTTCCGAAGTGTCTTACCTACTCAGATAATAGTTAATACCTTACCAGCCCTTACAAAGCTTTTAGAAGCTGATAGTGTTGTCGTAAGGATTTATGCAGCAGCTGCAATAGATAAAATTTTGCTCTTGAGGCATCCTGAGACTAAAGCATTGATGTAAGTATAATATAAATGTAAGTTACCTGGAGTTTTAAGGTTTAACAAATACTAAGTTACTTTTGAGTTATTTTTGCTATAAGTTCAAAACTAAGTATCAAAAATAACATTAATTCATCTAATTACAACTTTATACATAATATATTTTATTTATAATTGAAGTGTTGGTGCGGATATGCTCGTACCTTTTGCGGAACAGTTAATCAAATCTCTTTTTGGGATATTAACAAAACCTGGCTCTGAAGAAAATAGTCATACTATGAAAGGTAATTTAAAAATTTTAATTATTAACATAATTACCACCCTTTTTAGCTTTAATGAAAAACTGAGAAAGTGTTAGTACATAGTATTACTCTGACTACCACAAAAAATTAAATTATCCAAATAATCTTTATAAACTTGTATATAAAATTGTTTAACAAGTTAACCTAAACATTTTTTTTTTAATTTTTAATACTTATCAGCACTATTTTTTTAGTCTTTTCATATGATATAAATTTTTTGAAATTTGACAATTTACTTGTCCATAAGGGAAAATTTAAAATACTTTATAAAACTTTTGAAACTTTTCCGTATATACTGTGTCTTTTAAATATGTATTCAATGAAAGCTTGTGTTACATACTATGAGTTAAAAAAAAAAATTTGTCCCAACGATCTATCTTCTATGTGTAAATGGTTGTCGAAGTTAAATAAATTATTCAAATTTTAAAAATAAATAAATTTAAATTTATTAAATATTTATTCATATATTACACTTATAAATCATAAAACTTGTAATCATAATATTAATAAGGAAATAGGAGTTCATTTTGCTTTTGGAATAATCCACCAATTTCTTAAAATTATCATCTATACTTGTCCCAACTATGCCACGACCCCATTGTACTTCCTTTTTTTTTTAAAAGCATTTTATTAAATTTTTATGCTGTTGAATAAAAGTCATAAGAAACATTAAGTCTTAATCTGCAGATATTCTAGGCAAAAGAATTTTTAAATCAAAAATACCTAGAAATAACTATATGTATTTTTTTTTTTTTTTTTTTTTTTTTTTTTNTTTTTTTTTTTTTTTTTTTTATCAATTCGAAGCGTGGTTACAACTTTAATTGTAACCGGTTACTGGCCTTTTCTTTAAGTTCCTTAAAGGTTTTGACTCTTGCATCACATAACTATATGTATAATCTAACTATATTCATACACTTATAAATTAATATGTTGACATCAACAATCATTAAGTATTTAACCCAAAAAAATTTTAAACGATTGTAAATTAAAATAAAAAAAAAAAAATTGAATTTCAATTTATAATTTATGTAATATTTATTTATATTACACATAGTTATTTTTTTATAATTTATGTACATTTTTTTTATTTATTCCATTATTATTAATGAATTATTATCCCCAGCTATTATGAGAACATTCTTAACCCTCAAGCAACAGATAATACCATTACTAGCAGAACTTCTACCTGTTTTAACTGAAAAACTTACTATGGTAGCACGCAACCCAAGTCAACCAGAATTTAATCATTATCTTTTTGAAACTATTTCGTATTGTGTAAAGTAAGTTTTATTAAATGTAAGCTGAATCTATGATTTTTATTAAATTTAATGAAACAGAAATGTTATTGATAATTTTTTTGGTAAAATAAAGAAACACTTAAATAAATGTGTTTGTTTGGATTTAAAAAATAAGTATAAATTTTAAAAAATACTTTGATTTCATTTAATAAAAGACTAAGATAGATTTAGATTGTTTGGTTATATTATGAGGAGAGAGTAATTGGAAGCTATGACAACAGTTATAGCAATGAATGTTGAAGGAAGAAGTGGTAGAGGAAAACCAAATGCAATATGAGGACGGCTAATGTAAGCATAGATGATGTGTGAGATTGTGTCAAGTGAAGAAGTAGAAGACTTTGATTTCATTTAAAGTATAAAATGTATTTTTCTTCAATGTAAATAATTGAAAAAATTGGTTATATTATATTTATAATTTATAAACATTAAAAATAAGGGATAAATTTTCTTAATAAATTAAGAAATTTATCAATTTAATTATTATTTTTTATTAATAAATTAATAGTGTGTTTTTTATTTTAATACATAAAGTGTCTTAAACTATTTACAACTTTAGATTGGTTTGCACTGTTACTCCTGAAGGAGTTGCTTCATTTGAAGGTGTTTTGTTTCCTATTTTCCAAATAATATTGCAACAAGATATTTTAGGTTAGTTTTATCCATATCTGAATCATAGAATTTATTTTAAAACATAATTTAAAAACTTTTTTATTATTATATACATACATTTTTTTTTTAGAATTTATGCCATATACATTTCAACTTCTTGCTCAATTACTTGAGTTCCACAATCAAGGGAATGTAGGTGAAGCATATACAATATTGTATCCATTTTTGTTGTCACCTGCTTTATGGGATAAAACTAGTAATATTCATCCTTTAGTGAGACTGCTCAGGTCTTATATAGGAAAAACACCACCAGAAAATATTGAGAAATCTTTAAATATTGTAAGTATAAAATTAAGAAAGTACCAATCTTAATTTAATTATTTTCATTGTTTTAATAAGTTTTGCCTAGTAGTAACAAATTGAAAGTTTTGTGGTACCTTTAAAATACTGAGTGTTATAATTTCATAAAGTGAATCAATTAAATTTTTTTGTAGTCTTAGTATACTACAATAATTATAAGAGGAAATTAACTTGTATTAATGCATATCATTTTTAATTAATATTATCTAAATAACCAGAAGTCATAAATTTTTCTTTAATCTTCTTAGTAGAAGAAATGTCAATTATATTGTTTTATTACTTACCAATGTATATATATATATAGCTTGTTTTGTAATTTTTTCTACTGAGGAAATAATAGAGTAATTTTTTATTATTTTTTAATCATTTTAATTAATTCAGTGAAAATTATGTAACTATTCCTAAATTTTGGTTTTATTTGACAGATATTATACTAAAAATTACATGGAAAAATATATTTTGTCTGAATTATTGAAATTTAAATGAGATGGGTTTGATTCATAATTTATATACTGTTTTATTAGGCTTTTATACTATCTATATTATAATATATCATAACAATGTTTTAGAATGGGTTACTAGGTATATTTCAAAAGCTAATTGCATCCAAATCACAAGACCATGAAGGATTTCATTTACTTAAAACCTTAATTGAACATTGTCCAATGTAAGTACTACTAAGTCATTAACAAATATCCCAATTTTCACATTTTAAACAATACTTCTTTTGTAAACCTTTAATTGGGCTCTCGCATTTACAAAATACAATTAACGTCAAAAATATATATCTTGTTCCAAACATATGATAAATTAAACATTATATTTAAACACAATTTTTTTTTCATATAAATTTATTAAGTACCCATTAGGAAATATATAAAAAAAAATGTCTTCATTAATCAGTAAACTGAAATATTATATAATACTTGCATTTTATGCAGAAGTTCTTTAATAAAACTATATGTTAACTAGTATTAATATTAGAACATGAGTATTACATTGTTTTTATTAGCAACAGTCAGAAATTGTTCTACTAAAATTACAAAAAACTGTATAATTATCACTTGAAAACAATCAAAATATTTTACAATATAAATTATGACCTTGTTGAATATTACAAGACTTTAAGTTTTTATAACACTATAAAATTGATAAAATGTTAACATAAATTTTATAGATAAAAATAAGAATTGTGTTGTAAATTTTACAACAGTGCATCCGCTGAAAGATTAAACCTAACAAAAAATGTCTTTAAAACTAAAAAATTTAATTTAGCTCATTCAAAAATTCTATTTAAAAATATTTAAGAGTGCAAATCACTTATTATTTACATTAATTTTTATTTATTTATAATTAGTTTCAAAATAATATAAATTTAATTTTATCTTCTGCCTAATAAGTGGTTGTAATTAATATCAAAATAAAAGGCTTCATATTTGTAGTCATTTTAAAAAAAGCTGTCTAATAAATAGAAAAAATAAATATTTTTTTACAAAACACCTAAAAACTGTTTTTTATATTTAATCTTATAATTTTATTAAAAATGAAAAAAAAAAATTATTTTCTAATGTATAGTTATTGTACATATGACATTATTATAAAAGTAATAAAATATTTTATTATTATATTATAATTTTAGAGAAACTATACAGCAACAAATGAAAAATATATTCATTCTGCTATTCCAAAGGTTATCTTCATCAAAAACAACAAAGTTTGTTCGAGAATTAATCATATTTATATTTTTTTGCATTATAAAATATGGAGCAACATATGTCATTGATCTTATAGATTCAGTTCAAAATGGGTAAAACAATTAGAAATATGTCCAATTTTTTTTTACAAAATGATGTCTGTTATTTAAAGTATCATGTGTTTTATTTTAATATATATAGCATGTTTGGAATGTTATTGGATAAAATTATTCTACCTGATGTTCAAAAAGTTACCGGAACTACTAATAAAAAAATTACTGCAATTGGTATTGTTAAAGTACTTGCAGATACAAATAAATTGATTGAGGGAGATTATGCTTCATTTTGGTAATAAATAGAATATTTTAACAGAAAAGTCTTGATTTTTCTTACTAGATTGATTTTTAATAAAGGTCTCGACTTCTTGAAACACTCATTTGTTTATTTGAACTCCCAGAAGATGAAACTGTTTATTCAGAAGATAAATTACTTTTAGAAGATAATGATTCCTCTTATGAAGCTGGTTATTCACAGTTAGCTTTTGCTAGTGAAGCTGAATACAATCCTTTGTCTGGTAATTAATCAAAAAAATTTTATTGTCACTTAATTTGTATTAAAATGCTTAAATGTTATAAATTTAGGCATTGAGCCAAAAGCTTTCCTATCTCAATCATTAAGTAAATTAATGATCCAAATACCTGGCCGTGTTCCTATATTAATGAGTCAGGGACTTCTAGAAGAAAAACGTGTCCAAATACAGAATTATTTGATAAGCCTTAATGTACAAATTGTATAAATTGTACCTTAATGTAAATATATATATAAAATTTGTCTGGTAATATTGTAAGTGAGTTTTTTTTACTGTAAAATAATCATTTTAATTTTAATAGATCTTTATTTTACATTGACTTTAAGTAATTCAACATTGTTCATTTAAAAATTTAATTTCTTCATTTTATATTTATAATACTTTGTTACTGCAAATTATTTTTCTAATTATACATTTCTTTTATAACTTTAACTAGTATATTAGATTTAAAAAAAGTTTCTATGTTTTATTTATTGTCAACTAAATTATTGTGTATAATACAAATGTAATGGTGAAATATCCATAATTTATTGTTTTTTTTTTCTATCAACAAAAACTTTATTAGCCTTTAATATCAGACAAATGATGTAGCTATAATGTTATGCGCTACACCATATCTATAAGGTCTCTTCTAGTGGGCCCATTCCAAAGAGTGTCTGACAATATAGTTTTGGAAAAATTAAATTTTATTGATAATTGATTATTCTTTTTGCTTAATAAAGTTTAATTATAGTAATCAGGAGGCACAATATTTTAAATTATACTAGGTCCGAACTTAAAGAGTGAAATATATAGTATTAAGTCTTATTTATACGATAAAATAGGATTAGTAATATATAAAGACAATTATTTTGTCAATTAATACAACTTTTAAATTGTACATCTTAATAAATATATAATATTAAATATTTAAAATATTACAACTTATATGTCACATTTTAATGTAAGGCTTACATAAACAATAACATATGTGCAATCATTCTTTTAAAAGATAAAAGTATTATTAATATATTAATCCCCTTAGGAAGGTCCAGCTTGGAAGTTGAGATTAGCTTGAGTAGTAAAGTTGAAAATTTTTTACTGAGATAGCAAAAAAAATTATTATTTTTATTTATTATTAACAAATTTTTGGGCCTTACTACCTTATCTTTATTGGTGTATGTAGAGTAAAAGGGGCAGTGGCCATTAACCATGCTATGGATTAAATAAAAATATTTATTGAAATAATGTCATTTTAGCTTCGATGCGAAGCTGAGAAGGTATTGGTTTTACTATGATGTGTTTTTTTTTTTTTTTTTTTNCGATGCGAAGCTGAGAAGGTATTGGTTTTACTAAGATGTGTTTTTTTATTTTTTAATTTTTTTTTTTTTTGTGTCTGTTACCACTTTTTCTCAGCTCTCACCGAACGGATTTCTTTCAATGATACGTCAAAAGATCATAAATCGTGTCTAGTCGAAGAAATTACCCTCAAAAATTGAAAACAATTCCCCGTAAATGGGGGGAAACCTCCGAAAAAATTACAAATTTAAAAATTGCTAATTTTCGAAATTTTTTCAATTTTTTTTACTAAAAACTGCCGTAACTTTTTTAAAAATAAACATATCAATATACTTTTTTTTTTATATAGATGCTTGATGTCTTTACCTATTATTTGGTATATTTTTTTTGTAAATTTGACCTTTTTTCTGCCCACGGGGGGGAATTTAAAATGACAACTTTTTCACAAAAAATTAACTTTTTCAACTTAACTTTTGAAAATGTTCCGGAAGGTCTGACACTTTTATATATATCTTAAATTAAAGCTAATGTAATGTACTTTAATTTGAAAAAAAAAAATTTGACCTCTGGACTTTTCTTCATGGTGAAAACGGCTACCGAATGCTATTTTTGTGTGAAAATTACCGATTTTATAATTTACATTTTAGCTTCGATGCGAAGCTGAGAAGGTATTGGTTTTACTATGATGTGTTTTTTTTTTTTTTTTTTTNCACCAATTTTTTTAAAATTAAACACTATCTAAAGATTTGCATCGAAGCGTTTATTTTTGATAGTGATTTTAATCACTGTCAGATATCATTATACTTGATCCAACTATGCCACGTCACCACTGTGCCGCGACCCCCCTGTGCTGGGTTTTTTTTTTTTTATGTTTTCCTCATTATGAATTTCTATACAACCCTGGTAAAGGCGGTTCTAGAAAAAAATTTTATACAGAAACCTTATATTATTCCAACTTAAATGGAACAGTTTGTTATAGAATTACGAAACCCTAACTCTAAGAGATCAAAAGATTAAAAATTAATTCACATTCAAAACTTAAAATTGTTTAATTATCATCCCAATAAAGAAGAACCAACATAAGATTTAAATATTCAAGAATCAAAACAAATATCATGCCATTTCTACAGTAGAGGAAAAATCTAGCATTAATGTTCAAATTAATAATTCTACTTCAAATATTAGAAAACCAATAAAAATAACACTAAACCTATATATATGGGTTGAAAATTTTGTTATTAATTAATATTTTTTTATAATAATTAATAAACTCTTATTCATGATTGTAAATGATATTCCTAATTTTAATTATAATTTTCAGTGACAAGTAGTTTTAATGCGTATTAAATTAAAATAAAATGTATTATTTATGAAAGTTAATGTATTAAGATTGTATATTGTGAATTTATTATGTTATATTTTATATTTATTTGTATTAATACTTTAAACAGTTATATGGTTTATAAAAAGTACTTAGTTCCTACTTAAGTTATTACTTTACTGAAATTTAGATATCATTCAGGTTTATACAAATTGATTTATTCAACTATATTTTAGTAGATAATGATGATCTCTAATTTATTAATATTCTCGTTTTGTAACTTAACCGGGGTGACTGTAAGTTATTAGTTATATAATAATTACAGTGGATTTTTTAAAACCCACTAAAATTTCAGTTCAAATAGTTTAAGATTCTTATTTCAGGTTTTTTTCAATACCCTTTGAAGACTGATATTAGCTTATTAAACTTAGCAATATTTTGCAGTTTTTAAATTTTGGAGTTTATTGAGTATTGTTACAGTATTGGGTTTAAAGCAATTGATAGTAATATGTATAGTGAAAATACATAAGCGAGACAAACTGGAATTAAGCCTATTAGAAAAAATATCTTGAGGAATATTTGGTTGTAAATAAGTTCAATTGAATCGTTTATTTCAGAAATCCCATAAATGACAAAAATTGTAAAACAACTTTTTTTGTATTTTCGTGTATTCTTTTAGTAGACCCATCGATCTGTACAGAAATCTCTTATGTGCATTTTATTTATGCAGCTCATCACATCTTTGGAATAATTTGTTTAGAGCAGAAACCCTACAAGTGACATCGCAAAGGGAATTTCTGCACTAAAATAATTATATAATAATTTTTTTTCAAATACAATTTATTTATAAATTTAATACTTAGTAACTAAGTATAATAACTGTTATTTACGTTTACGATAGTGGCTACACAATATTGCCCGCTTGCTGTTGCTATACATTACTGTAGCAGTATTTAGGAGATACGCACACAATATTAGTGTGATATATTTAGTATTAATTTAGCTGTTTAGTTTGTTGTTTTTTGGTTATTTTTTTCATTTACTGTGTCTTACAATGTCGAGTGAAACTGAATCTAATGAAGATATTCCGAATAAAAGGTGTTGTCCATCCAAAAACTTACAAACGAAACATTATTAAGGAATCCCGAACTCACGGAAAAGAATATGTAAATTATAAAGGTAAGAAAATTTGTCAAAAAACTCCTCCTCATAAAATAAAATGCAAATGTCCTGCTAAAAGTTTTAAGCTTATCGTGAAGAAAGTGATGTGTGATATTTGGACAACATTTTACTCATAAGAAAATAAAAATAGTCAGGATATTTATCTACAATCGTTGATAAAAAAAAAAAAAGAAATTAAACGTCGTACGAAATCTAAAATGTTAATACCAATTATAGAAAATCGTAATAAGACAAACAATATGCACGTAGATGAGATAGACGAAAAGCTAGAGTATGGTGATCAGAACGTTCAAAAAAATTTTAAACGACAAAATTGACAACTTGAAAAAGCTCTCGGAATATACTACAGACTATTCAGATTTCTATATTATTTTGAGTTGGCCAACATTAGCTCAGGAGGAAAGAATGGACGATTCAGAATATGAAGAACAATATTAATAAATTATAACATTTTAATTTGCGTAAAATTTTTTTTTTTGGATACTTTTAAATATCTGCTTGTAATAATTTAATTTGTAATAGTTCATTAAAAGTCTACATTGTTAATTTTTCCTCTAATTAAATTTATTGTTACCTTAAAACTAGAAAATTAATGTTGTAAATGTATTTTATTGCAGAAACACCATAACTGCAAAGAGTAAGGGTATAAATTTACCTCTTCCCTGCAACCTTGGTGAGTATATGAGTATATTCAATGATATGTATTAAACCTTCCTTTACTTCCAGGAAAAAAAAAAAACTTAGGAAAATGAGAAGTTTTTATTAATTTCTCAATAGTTTAAATTTCTGTACTTAAGGAGTTTCTTTCTGAAATAAATGATTCAATTTATTGGTTAAAAAAAAAAAATTTAATATCGCTTGTAAAAAGTTGTTAAAAGCTTATTATTTGTAAACACATTCATTAGAGATAACATTATTGAATAGTATTAATAAGTATTTTCAGAATTTCTCTTCTTCGAGTCCATGTTTGAAGAGCATCAATACTGGTACATTATCTCCATCAATTTCTCTATATTCAAGCATTGCCACCATACCATTCTCAATATCCATGTTTTCACCAGTGAAAAATTGAAATTCCTTAAATCTGACTAATAATTCTTTCATGACCTAATAAAAAATTTTCATACTTATATTTAATAAAATAAAATTATGATACTGTAATAATTTGATTAAAAAAAAAAAAGGATTAGTCTACTTGATTGACTTATCCAGTACAGACCAAAAATTTGAAAATAAAAAAAAAATAATTTTAGACTTTAAACTTATCAGGCACCAGCCAACAAATTTTTTATTAGTGATTCAAAAATTTTTGGGAGCCCTTATATAATTTTTCATGTTTTTATTTCCAATAAAAATATTAGAAAACTTTTCCTTCGTACTGTTTCTGGAATGTAAATTTTAATATTAAGATTCTTTATCATTTTAAGTATATTTTAATTATTTATAAAATTTATAATTCTTAAAACAATCCATTCTTTAAATATATTATAAAATGCACAATTTTAAGCATTTGTTGGAATCTTTTAAAAAAATTATAATATGGATTGGAACAATGGTTCTGAGCTAGAAAATAGTAATTTTTTTATAATTTTGTTTTTATTTAAATTCTTTAAAAATACTCATGAAATATTAAATATTTTAATATTTCATAATAACATAATTATATTAAAAATGACAATATTAGGCAAAGTGAGTGATTTTTATAAAAACGAATACTGAAGTTAATAAAAAATTAACTTTTTCTTATCTGTATTCAAACTCTTGGCCTGTACTATAAGATCAAAAAAAATGTTAACTTTTCGTCGATACAAAAATGAATTAATAGAATGCCACTTAATTCAAATGTAGAAATATAATTTGATAAAAAAAAAAAAAGGAAGATCCAATTAAAACACATTTTTAATAAATAAAAATCTATAAACCTAAAATTATAAATTAAAATTTATTTAGTTAATTATCGAAGTCAACACATATTAATTTAAGTTATTTTAATATCTTACTTTATTAATATTCGTTTTAAAAAGTTCTATTTCTGTGCTTCCATTTTCGTTCATTTTATCGACTAACCGTTTCATGTATTCTTTCAAGTACATTGTAAATGATTTTTTATCATTGAATGCATAGGTTTCGCACAGACGATGATTAAGTATAACATCGACTCCACTTTCAACAATTTCATCTGTTCCTTCCGAAGCTTCTTCAGCCGAAGGATTGGCACCGTCTAACTGTACGTCACCAAGTTTCCGCGTGATCAGTTTGCCGTACACTTCATACAAGACACCATCTATTAATTTATATTTATAAGTATCGGAGAACATTTCATCACCCGAAAAAATATCTTTGAAAATCAACATTTTTAATGAAATTAACTTGTTGATATTTGAACTATCAAAATTTCAAATATGAATTACTGACACGCGGACACGGCGGCGGACAGAGGGCAAAAGACCCGTTTAGAAAAAGAACAAAACCTAAGAAGAAAGGGAATAACGTGGAATTTATCATACTGATAAAACCATGCGAATGTATTTTCAAGGAGGTTATAAAACAGTTGTATTTAAAACAACTTTGGATATAAAATTTTGCTAATTAAGTTAGGTAAGGTAATATAGCTGGTATTGGCAATATTCACGAATTCATTTTTACTTTTCATTAGTACACTAATTATAGGCCTGGATTTTGAAATAATTACTACAATCATATAATATGAATAGAGTAAGTTATTCAAGTCCTAGTCGTCAATTTAGATTTAGTTTTGTCATTTTAACTTTTTCCTTTTTTTTGTGTTTGCTACCACTTTTTCTCATCTATGGGTCAATATTACTAAACGATGTATCAAAAGTTCACAAACTGTATCTAATTGAAGATATTACCCATAAAATTTGAAAATATCCTTCGTCAATGGAGGGGAATTATATAAAAAATTATGATTTTAGAAATCGTCAAATTTTAATATTAAAAATACAATTACTCACAACTATTGAAAAATTAATGAATCAAAAGAATTTTTTTTTATAAATACTTTAAGTATTTCCCTCTTGTTATGTATATATATATCAACTTTTTTTTTTTTTAAAAAAGGCCCTTGACTCTCTCACAGAAAAGATTAAAAATAGCAACTTTTGCATGAAAAGTTAATTAAGGTTTTTCAGTTTTACTTTTGAAAATGTTCCCAAAATACTCCATTCTTTAAACATAAGTTGAAATAAAACTTATATTATATACTATAATATAAACAAAAAATTGTTTCGACATTTTTTATGTGTAAATGTGCACTGTAATTAAAAGTATGAAATTTTTTTTATGAGTCGTTTAAACATTTCCTTTTCATCTAATATACTTATTTAAAAATCTGTTTATTTTTCCTTGTATAGAGGGGGAAGGGTTAAAACTTCAAACATGCGTATAAAATAGTTTCCTGGTCCAGATAAAATAATATTTAATCCGATGACTCATTTTTTTTTATTTAATTATATTTAAAAATTTACAGAAAATACATTTTTTTTAGAAAAGGGTCGTTTTTGTATGGCACTAATTTTTTGCTTTACCCACAGGGATGCTCAGTGAGCCTTTGAATTTATTTTAATGACATTTTTTAGTAAAAATCGATCTTAAAACAACATATTTATTACACTAATGCAGTGGTTAAAGTGGGGAGACTAAAAAGTTCCTAAAAATTGAGAACCGTTCCCAAGCCATACCGAATTTCCCCCCCTCAAGGCTAAAATAATATTGATCATAATAATCAAAAAAAATTATCTAAGGGAATAGATTAGTGCCTACCTATAATTTTTGTTATTTCATTAAAAATCAATTAGAAATGAATATTGTACAAAACATTACAAAGTCAGTCTTAAAATTTTAATTTATTATGAAAATAAACAAAGTATTTTTTTTTTAATTTTAAATATACTATAACAAGAACAAGATGAGAAAAATATATGAACAGTGAAAAATTTAGGTAGGTATCTATGTAAGAAATATGAAATGACTAATACAGTTGTATAGTTTATAAAATATTTAACAGATTAATAATATATCAACAACCGTTGTAGGTTTTTGTGATATAACTAATGTTAATGTCACATTGTTTTTATTTCTATCACTTTGTAATCCTTAATATAATAAGTCATAAAATAATTACATGGTTTTTAAGCTTACATTAAAGAATTAATTAAACTTTTGAATAATCCATGAACAAAAAATAACAATAATACGTCACGGTCTACTGTGCGCTAAGTACTTATATTACTACAGTCAAATCATAAAATTCTTTAAATTTCATAATTTAAATTATTCTAAAATTATTATTTTTTTAACAAATTTGACATTTTGATTAAATTTCTTATATTAACACTTTCCATTTTTTAATGCTCAAAATTAAAGCGTCTCCACGGCATTTTGAGATTTGACTTAAAGAGGAGCTAAATTCTACTTTAAATAAGTAGAGGGACTTCGCCCCCTCCGTTCACCATCACTTTAACGACTGCACTTAAGGCTTAGCCTTGAAATTGTGTACTACCTTTTCAAAATTATATTTTACTGAATAACTTGGAACTAAAACTAAACTAATGTTGTTTTAAATGAAAGTAGTTGAAATAAAATTTCCCTCTTTTATTTATCATGCTTCTAGACTGATAAGACAATAAACAACTTGATCAATAATTTTTTGCACTTTTAAAGTTTCAACGATATATAGTTATAAGATCAAGAATATTTGAAACTGAATGAAGTAAAACTTTAATAATAATATTAAGGTATTTTTATTTTAAGAAGTTTTTTTTAATTAACAATGTTAAAAGTTGAGTAAAAATATTCTTACAAAAATTATTTATTATTATTATGAGTAATTTTGAAGCACAAAATGAAGGTAGCACTGCTCTAATCAGAAACTGATGTCTGCCATCTCGTTGCATCCTTTTGATTTACAGTATATTCATGCTGATGCGCCGCCTGCTGGTTTTTGTTGTTTTCAGTCGCTGTGGTGATACTACTGACAGTAGTTGTGTTGTTTTACCGACGTGATATGGTGATTTCAAATTGTTATTGTTTTTATGTGTTCATCAAGTTATTGTTGGCTTTTAATTTATTAGTTATAAAATATAAAAATTTATTCAGTAATTTTTTTAATTTATTGTATAAATTATGAGTTATTGGTTAAATATTTTATTGTAATTTGTCGTCCATATGCTTGAATTTACACCTGTTGCTCTTCGGTAGATATTTTTTGAGTGATAGTGTGTAAATCATAGCGACGGTTTTAAATGCGGCAGGATGACGACATTAGAATTATATGTTGTTTAAAGTTTTTTTTGCCTCGAAAAAAGCCAATTAACGCAATAATGGGTAATTCACATAGTGGTAAATCTGAGTACAGCTCTCCAGTGTCATCACCACAACATCAGCTACACCTACCAGTAGAATTTCCAAAAACACATAATTTGCGTGCTAGCATAAGAACTAAAATACCCATGCCAGATGCAAGTGAACTAGAAAGACGATTTACCAAAGTATTGGTAAGTATCATTGGAATATTTAAGAATAATATTTTTTATATAAATCTACATGTTTCTTCAAAAACTGACTAGTGGCTTATGATTTTACAAAGATTTTTTTTTATTAAAGTATTTTTTATAGTGGTATTTAATAATTTTTCTGTTTTTTATTATACTAACAATTTAATATGAAAAATTTATCATGTACATGAACTTGTATGTGTTTTTTAAGTATTAAAAAAAAAGTTTAATTCATCTTAGGTTCTTCAAATAGTTTACAATGAAATTTTTTAATATAAATGTGATTATTTTTTTCTCATTTTTGGCATTTCTGTGATATTTAATTGTATAAAATATTATCAAAGTATATAATTTTTTTATATTTTAAATAAATATAGATGCTAAAGTTTTAATGAAGATTAAAAGTATTATACTTTAAATAATTGTTGACAGAGGTTACTAAGAATGTTTTTTATAAAAAAATATTGTATTTTTATTTCTGAATATAAATCTAATTATATAGTTTTTTTTATTGATTAAAAAAATACAGTTATCTAAATAGACAAAATGCTCATTTAGAATAATATATTTCAACATTTTTTTTGGCAAATATTGTCAAATATTGGTATGAATATTTAGTGTCTTATGTTCCTGCTATGAAAAATTGAAATAAGTTTATATATTATATATAAGTTATAATTATAATATAGTATTGATTTGGTTACTTCTACATTATTTTTTTCTTTAGAAGTAACATAAGTTAATTTTATTTTATTGTATATGATATTTAAAAAGTTAAAATACTCAGATTCATATTATTTGATTAAAAAGGTTCACTCATTATTTAATTTGGTTTTTAGTTTGTCAAATTTTTCAGGAAAAAAAATCATAAGTTGAAACTATGAGTTTAATCCTATAATAAAATAAAATATTATTTAAAAAATTAAAAATTAAAATAAATGTGAAAGATAAATAACCATATGTATATTGAAGAAAACAATTTGTGCTTAAAAAAGTTTACTATAATTAAGTTTTAACCCAATCGAACCATGTGACCAAACTTTGAAAATGTTTACATTATTTTTATTGTTATATTAATGTAATAATTTTGAATAATAATATTTTATAATACAGTTAAAAAAATTTTAAATAGAAATTCTCAATTTTTGTTTATTACCTTTTTTTTCACAATTAATTATAATTTAAAAAAACAAAAATCAAGATGAGCTAATAATGATATAAAAGATGCTGTTCATTTATACATAATTTGTAGGACTATTTTTCATTGTGTAATATTAAATGTGTAAATATTTACACTAATTAAAAAGTCAAAAATTTTTGTTTAAAGCACTTATCAAATGAATTGTCGTTACGACTGGGTGGAAAAAAATAAATATAATAATGAGATTGTAACTATCACGTTATTACGTAAAAAAAAATATTGCTTTCATTATAATACATATAATTCATTATTTTTCACTAATTTGTCACTAACAATTAGAAAAAGTGCATTTATTACTTTGTGGTTATTTAATTTATCTATTAACATAATTTTTTTTCTGTTTTTAACCAAATTAATATAAAAAAGTGTGCATACTTTATAGGTATTATTATAACAAAATAATTTATGAAATATTATATTTTCCTTAATGGTGCTTGAAAATTATTTAAAAAAATTTTGTGGCAATATCAATATTTGTTTTATTTGAAAATCACACATCTAAAGTCAGTAACTTTATATTAAATTATTTTGGTAATTTATTTCACTAACAGAATAAACAAAATATATTTAAAATAATTTTTAAGGCGTATTGAATTTTACTTATATGAACATATTTTGTGTGATCAAGCGAGTGTTTTATATATTTTGATATTATGACTTGTGTTTACTCAATTTGACCAGGTAGATGTTAAAAAAAATTCGCACTGAAAAGTCTGTTTTTCATTTTCAAAAATGTGTGATTTTCTTATAATCAACTAGAACCTTTTTTTCTCTCGATTTGGGAAATTGATAAGAGTATATTAAACCATAAATTATACCCATATTTTTATTTCATAATATCTTATTCTCATTGATAGAAAACATTGAACTCTACGTAAGGCTATATTAACTAAAGCATGTGTGCGCATAAAAATGTATCATTGTAAAAATCACGTACATTTAGTTTGAACCATATTTGGCGATGATAGTACATAAGGCAGTATAGAAAAATTCATAATTCACGCTGAGTTTATAACATCTCGTGACGTTCCAATGCATAGTTTTAGATTATCACTGTTTAATATCTGTTTTTATAAAACAACGGTGTATTATATTCTTTTCTTCAACGTTCATATACATTTTATATACGATGTATCAAATATGTTGTGTATTAAATATTTTTTAGTATTTTCTAATGGACAAAGTTAGATTAGAGTGATAATTCACTAAAGGCGTTAGTAAATTTTCTGAATGTAAAAGTTTTTATTGAAATCAGTGGCATCCACGAAAAAGATATCAATAGATTTTACAAAATATTAATGTTCAGTTCCATTAATGGTTTTTTTTTATTTGATGGTGTAATAAATAAAAACTCAAAATCTGTATGCGATTTCTCATTCTTTTAAATGACTATTCAAATTTTGCCATAGATAAATCAATACTAAATCTTGGTAACTATTCATAGTGTATTTTTAAGAATACTGGAAAAGCAAACTTTAATACAATGAAGAATATTATTTTAGAAATAAACATTTCATATTGATGACCATTTAATGAACAACATAATTATGGTCCATTATGTATTTTTTATTTGATACTAAATGTTTGCTGATTTGTTAATTGATAACGGAGTGGGCGGTTAAAATTTATAATAAACAGCGAATAAACATTTACGACTTATGATAAACAATAATAATGAGAAAAATGATTATGACCGAAACTCTCAAAATGAATCACATTTAGACAAATTTGCTGAAAAATGTTATAAGTCTATTATTTCTAAGCTCTTTTATTTTACTACAACAATGTATAAAAATGATAGAAGAAAGTTAAAAGGTAATACTGTATAACGCAGTATCAATAAAATAAGTTTCTATAGTTGTTTGAACTATAGATATAGTTATAAAAATATGATTTAAAAATTAAGTTTTCATTACTTTTGTTATGTGTATTTTTTTATTTTGTCTAATCTGATAAGTTGGTAAAATGGCAATAGAAACTTTGACAATATCATAAAATCTTTAATTATTCACGTAGACTTTTAGGCTAAATTTTGTGACATTATTTTGATTTCCTATAATTATTATTGAGGCTTTGAATTAATCGTTTTGAACTTCCGAAAATTATTATGTTTTTAATTATATTTTATTGGAGTTTGCGAATAAAAAAATATCTATTCGCTAGTCTGACAACTGTTGTTATTTACAGCTCTTCAGGATTTCAGAGATAAAGAAGCGTACTATTATTCAAATAGTACATACTAGATTTGCTCTTTCAGTTAGCTACATTGTAATAGGTGTATGAGTTATTGAAATATCTTGTTTGATGTGCCTCACAATGTACGTCTTGTAGCCATTGTGAGCAAACTACAGAAGTATTGAATTTCGAGGCGCCATATCGACACTAGAAACTTGATACCGCTCATACTTATTAAATTGTCACCTTGTTTAGTATTTGCTTTTTGTATAAATACCAAAGATCATATGTATTTCTTCATTATTATTTTTTGTGGTATTGGTAAAATGGTTGTTTAAAAAAATTTTGATTTAAGTATAAACAATATTTTTAACTTTTTGAACTAAAAAATGTTGTAAAGTGCTTGTATTGCATATTATCTATTGTAAAAAGAAAACGTTTACATTTGTTGTATCCCTTTAACTATAAGGAACCACACCCTATGGTTTTACAAATCACAATAGATCCCTCAACCCCTATAACTATCATTCAAACGGGTGTGGCTAAGAAGATGGTCTTACTTTTATTGTGATTCGATTATTTATTACTTTATAATATCACAAATATTAAAATATTCCATTGTATAATAGATTCTCAGGCTAGTGAATATTTTCACTGTAAAGTATCTTTGGTGTAAAAAAAAAATGTAATTATATATTGTATTAGGAGTATTACTAGGAGAATAATTTTTAATTATAATTACCATCTTGCATTTAAAGTTTTATATTTAAAATGTCTTAATTAATGTGCATTGAATCAATGTTTATATACATTAATTTAAATAAGATGAATTTATAATTTTATCCTGGTTAGTGGTTGGTAGCTATCTAAATTTTAATAACCATTAATAGGAAAGAGAAAAAAAAAAGTTGTTGAATAATAATTTTCTAAAAAAATAATAATTAGAGATTATGTAAGAAACAAGATTGTTTTTCTTATATTAATATGTTTGTCCTGTGTTTTATCAGATAAATATTAACAATTTATTTCTTATAAAATTTATAATAATAATAATCTCTTGTAAATTGTGTTTCTTCATATCTTGTGAAAGAATCTTCATGTAAAAGAATAACATTTTGTAATATTTTTCATTGATATTCATTTGTTTTGTTAAAAATCAGTACTTATTGTTATTATTTACTCGTTAATGTTAGTTGTTTAATTATTTTCAATTAAAAAATGTATTTAAAAATAAATTACACTTTAATTGATTAATTTAATAATTGATTCATAGTAAAAGTCTAAAATAAATCGAAATAATAAAAAGTGCATTAGACTAAGTTATTAATAACTGTTAATTCTTTTATAAATTAATGGTATTTGAAAAATAATTTTCATAATTAATTTCATGCTTCAGTTATTGAAATTATCCAAATTTATTAAGTTTATTTTTGTGTTTGTATTTTTTAAATATATAAATGTATAGTTCTAGTAAGATATCACATTTTTTACTAATAATCATAAGTTAAGTAGAATTAATAGGTCTTTAACATTTAAAATCTTATTTTTGTTAACTTCAAAACGGTATTATAAATGGGTCAGCAAGGGGGCGGGACAGTTGTTTCCTTGGTTTTTTGCTTAATTAAAAGGTAAGTTCTATAAAACTATAGTGAGACCAACTATGTTGTATGGGTCAGAGTATTGGGTGGTTGATAGTAAAATAGGGCATAGAATGAGTGTAGTAGGGATGGGAATGCTTAGATGGATGAGTGGAGTGACAAGAAAAGATAGGATAAGAAATAAATATGTATAAGAAAGCGCAGGATTAGCGATCATTCATCGATTGTGGATAAAATGAGAGAAAATAGGCTTAGATGGTTTGGTCATGTTACGAGGAGAAAGAAATCAGAAGCTATAAGAATGGTTATGGAAATTAACGTTGAAGGAAGAAGAGTAAGATTGGAAAAAATTGGTTGCATGTAATTGGTGGTGATATAAGGACTGCTGGTGTGTGTATAAATGATGTGGGAGATAGTGTCAAATAAAGGTTTAGGATAAGAGTAGTCGAACCCAAGTAGTTGGGATAAAGGCGAGAGAGAAGAAGAAAGGAGTAAGATAAATTATTATTGTTATTTATTTTACCTTAAATGATATTATTTTGAGACTAAATCAATGGATTAACTCGATAAAAATATCGATTTAGTTGATAAATATGCTTCTGGAGTGTATGGAGAACCCCCATCACCTAACCTAATTATGTAAATATAACTACAATAAACAATTCACTATTCCTAAGTAAAAATCTACAAATTTGTATGACTACAATCTTGGAGTTAAAATAACTATCAATTTTTTTTGCGTGCATTATTTTTAAATAACATGTTGTGTTATTTAAAATTTTTTATTAACAAAAAATTGTTAATGAAAATTAAATATAAAACTGTATGTCCTATGTTCCAAATGGTATGCTTTTATAGATTTTAATAAACGAATATTATTTATTATATTGGTTAATAAAATAAAATAGATTCAAAACTATTATTTTTTTAAATCAAAGTTTATATATAGTAGAGATCTATTTTCCATGCATCTAAGGCTAACTTATTATCAATCTAATTTTTATCAGATTAATAATTATCTTCGTGATTTGTTCGTTTGTGCTAATTGTAAATTCTACTAAAGGGCTTTAAACATAAATTGCTTAGTATTTTTTTTGTAAACACAAATACAAGAAGTCATAGGGGAAATGTCATTCTAAAAACATCATTATATTTTGTAATCATAATTTTATAAGTTGACGACATAAAAATGTTTCTAAAAAATAGATATTACCCTTTGATAATTAGTGAAAAGGCTCCTAAAAATTCTAGAGCTTTTTCTATTCCTTGAAGTCCGATCCCGACATTTTGAAAAATTAAATAAAGGGTGATAATATATGTATACCAATGAATGCCTTATTTATTTATAACCTATCAATAAATATTAAATTAGTGTAATACTAATTTAATTTTGTATTGAAATTGTTCATATGAGTGTATGGATATGTTTTATATTCATTAAACATTATTACATAAAACATGTCACTTTATTCTGTTATCTTAGTGTAAACAGGCTACTATAAATACCAAATTATCTACTGTATAAGGTTAATATCCTAATTATATGAAATATGTGATTAATTTAAAAAACAAAGTTTTTTTTTTTTTTCTAAACAAAACTATTATGATGAATAATTGGAAAAATCTTTTTTTAATTGTTTTTAAAACTACTTTTGGGCATCAGTAATATTTCATACTCTGATATCATATGCGTTTTTGAATAAGAATATTACATCTCCGATACTATAAATTATTATAAATTAAGGAATATGTTTTTAATACTAATAAGTTGCAACATTTACAACTTAATAAAGAAGAGACATTTTAATAGATAATATTTTTGAAGATCTTAAAAAAAAAAATGAGTACATTAGCCAATTTCGGAATCAAGTACTAACATACTTACATACTAATTTATAATATGTGATTTTAAAAGTTTTTATATTATAGAACACGTTGTATAAAAATTATACGCGAAATGAGAAATTTTTGTTGTTATCCTTTAATTTATTGGAAATCATGATTCAAAAGGTAGCTCTAAGGAATTTCAAGTTTACATTTAGCTATGGGCTACTTGCTTGCAAGATATATATTTGCAATAATAGTATTCTAATGATAAAAGATAATGAGAATTATATGTGTTGTATACCATTACATCTGTGTGTATACAAATTATTCAATTATTTTTTTATTTTGTGTTGTAGGCATCGATGAATTTGCCTCCAGACAAAGCAAAACTCTTAAAACAGTACGACGATGAAAAAAAATGGGATCTTATTTGTGATCAGGTATGAGGTATTAATTAATTATTATCATTGTAGCTTTTAATATTATTGTTTCCAATTTAAAATAGACTCTGTAAACAACTCTGTAAGTGTACATATTATGTCAGGGATAACATTGACTTTGATAAATTATTATCATAGTACGAAAATTAACGAAAAAATATATGTATTTAATAGTTTATTGAATGTTCTTAATGAAAACATAATTTATTTATTTTGTTGTATAAAAAATAGAATAATAGTAATATATTATCTCAGATATAATGAAAAAATCGGCTTTTAAACATGTTAACATAGTATCAGTGTCTACATTTTTTGTACAAGAATTCTGAGAAAATACATTGTTCAAGTTATATATTTTATATTTATTGCATATATTGTTCAATGGATGTATAAACAGGGGCAGTTTTGTAGGAGATAATACACTCTTTAAAAATTCATCACAGTTATTACTGGTTGCAATTTTTAGAATATATTGAAGATTTTTAATCAATAAAATAACCTTGTCATTTATGTATGAATAAATATTAATATTTAAATCATTTAAATTATTTTAAAATATATATAAAGTATTCGCAAAGTAGGAGGTGTTATATATTTTAAAATAGTCTAGTATTATTGTTTCATTGTTAAATAGTTCTTATTTGACCTTATTCGGTCACTTAGCAGAGTGGCGCAGTGGAAGCGTGCTGGGCCCATAACCCAGAGGTCCGTGGATCGAAACCACGCTCTGCTAAAATGATTTTTTGTAATTTTTTTTGTAAATTTTACTTTCTATAAGAAAAATAGGTTCGAAATTTATTAGAGCATATTCTTAACGATTATATTTTTACTGTCAATACTTATGGTGTTTTTATTAATATTTTTAAATACCAAATATTCCAGTGCTTTATTTCATATCTGTTTTTACTTTTGGTAATTTATTAAATTAAAAATAATTGTTTAATTTTAGTTATTGTCCTGTTTAATATTTAATTCAGCCATCGTTATGCGTTCATAGCACCCGAAATGGTGTAATATATAGCATTTGGTTTGGAGTATTCAATGATTTTTCCCACCGGATATTTTACGGATATTAAACGACAACAGACTTCTGTTAAAGACATACGTTTGAACACATGTCAAATATGTAAAATAATTATTACAAAAACTTAGAGTATTTTGACAATGTGAACACTTATTGTAATTATTTTTTTTAATTTGTCCCTATCCTTTTTAATTTCTATTCCCAAGTTATCTTTTTGGTTCCATCAATTTTTTATATGGAGAAGACATGTAAGATAAAGTTTGTATTTTTAATGCTATTAAAAAAACATAGGATAATAGTAATATATTTTTTTGTTATAATAATGCTTACATGTGCATAATAGTAATAAAGCATAAAAAATATTTGGATTTCGGAATAACACTGTAAATGAGATTGTAAGAATTAAAATTGTACATCAGTGTAATTATTAAAAAGTAATAAATCATATTATTTTTTATTAATTTAATGTTATTACTAATAATACTCAATGATGAAATATTAGGTAGATATATAAAATTTTTAGTTTATGAATGTTTTTTGTCTTTATGACTATTGTTTACGCTAGTATATTATGATTCACGATCTATTTATATAATAAAAAAAAAATCATTTAACATTTAGTCCTCGTGAAAATCATAAAATTTATACATATGTATATATATTCATAGGAAGTATATGAAAACGATATTGAATATTTCCGGTGTTTTAGTTGTGGTTAATAGTGCGTTACCCCAGACCAAACGTGATTAGACAGCCAAATTGTCAAAATATATTCTATACAGAGAAATTTTGGTAATCTACAATTAACTAAGTGACGTCAAAAAAAAAAGTTTTCCTGATGTTTTATTTGACATTTAAGAGTCATTAGCGGTTTCATTTTGAAAGTGACTATATAAGAAACATTATAATGTAATAAAACTTAAGCTTTAATGTTACTTAACTTTTAAAGCTCTATGTGCAACAATGAGTAAATAATTTTTCATTTTGCTTGATGATCTATGTTTTTGTTATTAATTTGATACAGTGTAATATGTCCATGAGTAGCTACCTGGGGCAGCTTCCCCAGGAAGCTACAAAAAAAAAAAGAACACACCTGACTTTTGAAGGCGTCATAGTCCGAATCCGATAAAATGTGGTTAAAAATGCATATAATGTTATTTTTAACGCCTTAATGTATATTCTAAGTTTTGTAAGCCAGAATTTTTTTTGGAGTAAGCTCAAAAAAGTTTTACTCAAAAAAATAATTTTAGGGGTATATCAAATACAAACTATCTCGAGGCGCTTAAACCCTTACGTCACTGACTTGACAATATGTCTTATTATCAATTTTTCTCCATTTACACAATTTTTGTGAGATTACAAATCGGTAATTATTTAATTAAAGTGAACCATGTTAAAATATTTTTCTATCTTGAATATCAATTTATTTACAGATTTTGTTATTATATATTTCAAAATAATATGCAAACATTTTTGAGTTTTCATATTAGTTTTAACAGAATACTATTAACTTCACATTCTATATATTTATATTAGGTTGTAATTTAAATTATCAAGTAGTTTAAGTAATTAGGAACTAATTATTTTCATTGAGCATGATGATAGTTATTCATCTTTATTGATTTATCGAGATACCATATATATATATATATATATATACATATATATTTTTTATAATGTATTTTAAACAAATTAGAATCTAAATTAGGAATCTAAAAAAAATCTCCGGTTAATAATTTAAACATTTATATATACACTTATTTATTTATTTATATATATTTTGTTATTTTAGATAATTTTAGACTCAGTTAATGTTTAAAACCTATTTAGTCTGTAATATAGTATGTCATTTTACATGAATAAAAATTATGTGTTATTTGAAATATGACTTGTTTAAGTTTCCTGTATCCTTGACAATTTGTACGAGTTAAATTTTTAAAATTATAACTATCTGGTCGCTTACGCATCCGAAACAATTTAGTATTTACTCACATACATTTAAAAATACAATTAGATAATTTGTTTTAAGAATGAAACGCAAAGACATGTTCAGATGCTATTGTTGTACACCATGGTTAAATTATTTTTAAGTTGCTTTTGTGAGGAGGGGTATTGGATCCAAAATGTTTTATGAGGGTGCTAAGACCTAATTGACCCAATTGACCTTTTTTTTCAATACTTAAAAGTATTTTCAACGCATTTTCATATATTTTTACAAATGAAAGCTTGTATGTTTCCTGTGTTAAAATTAAAAAATGAGTATCCGTTTTAAAGTTATCTCGACAGTTTTTGCAATTTTTTTAAAAAGTGTTGGCTACGATTTTTGATTGATTCGCGTAACTTTTAATTGAAAATCTTCAATAAATTATAGTGGAAAATACAATTTTGTATTTAGTTTCGAGTAAAATAATGACTAAATAAATTACGCACTTTTTTGCTTTTTCTCGTAAGAAACCCATCGAGTACTATAAAAATAGTTTTAAGTTAACGGGGAAAGGGTTGACTATGACTAGTTCATGAATCCCACAAATCTCGGTTACTGTAGTGTGACGTTATTGGTGTTCATTTTAGCTTCGATGCGAAGCTGAGAAGGTATTGGTTTTACTATGATGTGTTTTTTTTTTTTTTT